CACTAGTGCATTTTAGTTTTAAAACGCATAACTTTTGCTACTGTTATGCCTGTCATTTACACTACTCTGACGTTTTCGACCCTCGAAAAAGGAGACTTTTGAAAACGCTGCAGACCCCCTTTTAGGGCTGGGCGGTATATCGAGTTTGTACGTTATATTGATATATTTTTAAAGGGGTCATATGATGCGATTTCAAGTTTTCCTTTCTCTTTGGAGTGTTACAAGCTGATTGTGCATAGATGAGATCCCTGAAGTTGCAAAGACTAAAGTCTCAAAACCAAAGAGATATTCTTTATCAAGTGATACGGTATGAAGCAATATCGTCAATATAGAGTTTGATAGGAGCTCATTTGAAAAAATATCTAGGGAGGACACAGACTGAACTGCTGCAGAGAAAGAGCATAATACAATTTGTTCTAAACATATGACAAGCTTTATATGAAGGGCTTTAAAAAAAACTTGTAAGACATAGTAGCCAATAGTTTATAGTTTCAGTTTAAAGTTGCTCGGCCTGTCAGATGCTCTGTCAGAAAGGCTGCGTGTGCCGCTGACAGAGACGAGCCGTTTAATGTGTTTGAGATGTGCGGTTTTCCTAAAATGCATAACTTACATTTCACAGGCATATTCTCCATGTGTAAATGTTAGAAAGCCATGGAAATATTTCCATTTTGCTGTCAGAACTGCATGAGCCTTCTGCTTTGCGGTGCTCTCCGCTAAACTTCAGACTTCATTTAGAATGAGCGCCGCACGTGCGCCAATCAGAGGGAGCATGAAATAGGAGCGCAATAGCTCTGACTAAAATATACATTTTGCTGAAATATTTGTAGTTGGACAATAGATGTGGCATGTAGAATTTTAAACCTGCAAGTAAGTGCAGTGTTTCTCATACATTGATTTATTTGTGGCGCCCGCTACAATATCAAAACTGACCACCACAAATAGATTTTCCAAAAGGCTTTGACTTCGTTGAATAAACATGAGCATGGTGTTTTTATATCACTGTATTTCTGAAGGAAACCGACTGTCTTCAGAAAATTTTTAATGTCATTTTCATTTCATCTTGCATGTAATGTCTGATAAAGCAGCGTTTGTGAGCGGAGCGCTGCTTTGTGTACAGCCGTTACCGGGGAAACCTCGATCTCTACCACTCCAACAGCACCTCCTGCTGGCAGAGAATGAATTTGCATATTTATGCCGCCATAAATAGAGTGCAAGTCTGTGGGAAACACTGAAGTGTATTTGTATGATAGCACTAACTGTAAAGTGACTCTAATGGGATAATCAAAATAGCCTTTTTACTCAATTATTTTGTGCTTTTTTATTATTTTCATTTTTAGTTTAGTAAATTTAACTTCTGCTTTAAAAGCCTTATTTTTTTGTTCTTAGATTGCAATGTAACAGTGTTAGAATATAATGTGATTTTAACCCTTTTTTGCACATAATATATGCCTACATGGTTACATTCATTTTATTTATTTGTTTAATCCAAATACAAAATACAGAGATATATACCGTATACCACAAATCAGCCAAAAAATACCAAGATATTAATTTTTGCTCATATCGCCCAGCCCTACCCCCTTTTAGTTTGAAAACTCCAGGATTGCATTCCAGTGTAAACGGACCAAAACGATGACATCCTTTGAAAACGATGGCGTGGCTGCCCACATTTGCTCTGCGTATCCTTGACGACCGTGTAAACAATAACATCATGCTCATTGCTGAACCCATAGATATGTATAGGTATGTATAGGTAGATTCCCCATTTGACCGCTCCCAAGCACGTAGACACATCCACCATCTAAATAATAGGGAATCTACCTATACATATCTATGGTTGTATCTGCATGAAAGGTCATGTGACATGCGTTTTCGGTTGTGTAGTGTGGACGGAGATAGTTTCTGAAACGCAGTGAAAATGGCAGTGTAGATGACAATCTTTTTCATTTTAAAATGCTGTTTTAACGAAAACGCACTAGTGTAAACAGGGCCTAAGCCAGGATTAGGCCATAGTTAAATTAGGACATTTAAGTAATTTTTATACATGTGCCTTAGAAAAAAAACAAAAAAAAAACAACAACAACATTACTGGTGTACATCATGAGACAAAAAGGCACTGATATATTTTAAGATCAGTCAGTGCAAGTTTCTTTCTGTTGAAACAGGTCAGACTTTTTAGTCTGGGACTAGGTTTAAGCCTTGTCTGTGAAACCCGGGGGTTAATATGATAAACTGCCAATTAAGAAATATAGATGATGTTTGTGTTACTTCTTAATGTTTCAAACAAAATGTTTTCTTGGTAATATTTTCTATATTATTTCATATGATTTCCTATATGTCCTCAATTTCACATTCCTGTTTTTTAATTTACCTAACTTTTTTTTTTTTTTTTAAATAAACTAACATCAACAAAAACATTTTTGTGGGGAAAACAACATATGTTGTATCATAAGTAATACTTATCAATTAATCTGCTACTTATATAAGCTAAATTTATCATACATAAATGTACATTTAATTTTAAATGCAGAAGTTTAACAATACCCACAATAATATTACGTGTTTAAAATAAGAAGGCTGTACAATTTTTGAGTTAATATTTGTAAACATTTAAATGTTTTTGTTTAACTTTCTATTTGCACTTTTATTTCTGTCTTTAGATTTGATATTATTTATTTATTTTTTGTGGTTTTGTATACCCTTATTTACCCTCTGGCTACTATTTGTAAATGTTTACATTTAACAAATTTAACACCCAAAAAAAATTTACAAAAAAAAAAAAAAAAAAAAAGGTTATTTGTAGCAAAAATTTATTTGAAAATTGGACAAAAAGACAAAGGTACAAGACTGTGTGCTTAACGGCTTTAGTGAGGAAAAAAAAAAAAAAGTACAATACCAGGAAGCATTGCAAATGGCATAACCAAATTAAAAACAATGATAAAACATAAAACCATTCATTTGAAATTGTTGAATAGACCTCATGTAGCCCCACCCCTTTTCAGTGCTGCGCTCGTTGTCTTCTAACTTCCATTTTTATTTCCACAGCGTGTAGGTAAGGTCGTACGAATTTATGAATGAAACGCTTGTTTTAAAATCTTCCCCGTCTAGTACTGACATTTGTTATGACATCCACTTCAAACATTACAATGCACATGATCATTTTTGTTAACTCTGCAATAAGTAAATCCACTTCACCAGCTAATTACTCTTCAACAATTCATGCTATATAGAGCTACTGCAAAAACAAAGTTTAAAGACAAAATTTTCTAAAGGTGGCTGCGCACTTGTTTCTCTGAAGCATAAGGTCTATACACACAAATATTGGTGGAATTTCCTGTACAGCATCATGGGTAATGTAGTTTTCACCACAAATTTAAACTGTTAAACAATTATTTTAAAAAATAATTTGAAATAACGCAAACAGGTAGCGCGCAAAAACAAAGTTTAAAGACAAAATTTTCTAAAGGTGGCTGCGCACTTGTTTCTCTGAAGCATAAGGTCTACTATACACACAAATATTGGTGGAATTTCCTGTACAGCATCATGGGTAATGTAGTTTTCACCACAAATTTAAACTGTTAAACAATTATTTTAAAAAATAATTTGAAATAACGCAAACAGGTAGCATCACCAAAAACATACCATCGATTAAGAACCTCTGGGTTCACAACAGGTCTGTAAGTCATTGTTAAAAATCTATTCCCCATAGAGAAAACAAATGGAGTTTTTACTTCCGGAAAACTGACTGTTGCAATCTATTGTGAAGCAATGGCTTCATAACCTGAAGTTCAGTCATATGCTCCATCAAGCAACAGTTATGCTGTCCTAACTGAAGATGGAACAAATTATCGCAAGTATTGTGACCCCTCCACTGTTATGGAAACAGTGCTTGGAATGCTCACAGTGGAAGTACAAGACACTAAAGGAACCGTAAGGATTAAGCAGCGGGATAAGGACAATATCTTCTTTCACGAAAACCCACAAGGCATGTGGTCCATGCTCTTGCTTTTGCAAAATTCAATATATTTCGATAGGGTTCAATAAAGCATGCAACAACAGATTCAGTGATCAGAACAATGGCAGTAAGCTTTAAAAATGAAATCCTATTCTGCTTACCGCAAGTGATCTGATTACTTTCTGGCCGAGGGCAGCAATAACAGATGTCTACTGAACTGAAAACATTAACTAACTGAATCAAGAGGCTTCAGGGTACAGTGTGGAAAGCAGACAAGAAATGCAAGAGTTTAATGACAAGCTGACATGGAGGAATGGCCACAGTCTTGGTTCAGCTGACCTTTACAAATGCAAGAACAAACACATTCCATTACTTTGTCAAATCTAGTGTAACATGTGTGCATGGTGTGTGTGTGTGTGTGTGTGTGTACACCTGTTCAGTGTCAGTTGGCTCATGACCCTGGCTGGAAAGTCTAGGGTACCTCACATTTTTTCCTAAAATGAGCATGTGTATAAAGAGGAAAATTAACTCTCAGGATTTAGGTGTTGATTTAAAGGTCCAAAGTTCCTGACTGTAAGTATTTGCAGTACAAAATCCACATGTGATGCCTACCTCAAGTCTAGTGCAGTATTGTGGCTAAATAAAATTCAAGCAGCTGTTACATACTTTGTGTGCAAAACAGAAAATAGTACTGGCTTGGTTGACTAATAATAGAAAGGCAAACAAATATGAATCAGGATTGCAAACTACTGAACTGGTTTGTGTACAAATTTTGATCAGTGTTGCACGTGGCAACTGAAATATCACAGCATGACAGAGCACTCAATCACTAATGTTGAGTCTGAAAAGGTAACTATGATGTGTCCAACAAAGGATGCTTATAAAACAACTGTGAAAAAAATACTCTGAAACATGTTTGATACATCAGTTACACGAACGCACCTCTGAGTATCAACTTCAAAACACCAAAACTTGCAAAGGTTGTCCGTTATTACTTTGTTTCATGTACAAACGGTGTCAGAATTAAAGTTTGTAGAAAACTTACCTGTTTCAAGAGAGATACCGCTCAGTCTCTGCCTGACACACGCTTTTCCCAGTCAGTATTTACGTTTATAACTGGAGTGAGGGAGCGAGTGATTGAGGGAGGGCGGCCGAGCGCTCCATCAGCTCCTCCCTCTCGCGATTCCCTCAGTCAGAACAAACAGCGCGGTAAACTGACACACTCCCACCGCTTTGACTGAGAAAAGTCTGTTCACATGGACAGTTAAATACGTTCTTTCCTTAAAGCATATTAGTATTTTAAATAAATAAAACATAAAATCTAAAAATGTAAATTGAAACATAAAATCTGTCTTAAGAGGTGTCTAATACCATGTCTCCATTAAATACCTTAAAGGGATAGTTCACCCAAAAATAAAAATTCTGTCATTAATTACTCACCCTCATGTCGTTCCAAACCCGTAAGACCTTTGTTAATCTTCGGAACACAAATTAAGATATTTTTTGATGAAATCAGAGAGCTTTCTGACCCTGCATAGACAGCAACGCAACTGACACATTCAAGGCCCAGAAAGGTCGTAAGGACATCGTTAAAATAGTCCATGTGACATCAGTGGTTCAACCTTAATGTAATGAAGCTATATGTCAGTCTTCGCTGCACATTCAGGACAGTACCACAATGCATGCCAGTGCGTTATGGTTGAACCACTGATATTTTAACAATGTCTATATTGCCTTTCTTGGCCTTTAAGGTTTCAGTTGCATTGCTGTCTATGCAGGGCCAGAAAGCTCTCATATTTCATCAAAAATATCTTAATTTGTATTCCGGAGATCAAACTGTTTTCTTGGAAATTTATATTTTTAAATATTTCCCATAAATCCTCAATTTCCTATTCCATTTTTTATATAATATTTCTTTTTAATTAACTATCATCTACCAGAAAGTGACACCATTTTTGGTGGGGAAAAATGCAATGATTTTCATTTATGACAATAACATAAAAACAATACTAAGTTTTAAAAAAATAAGAATAGTTTAAAATGTGTTCATATTTGTTTTTTTTAATTGATCAAATAAATCTAAAGATTGAATCTGAAAATTAAAGTAAAAAATAAACAGCAATGGATCTGTTGAATTTGACATTTTGTGGTAGTAGTTGGTTTGTCTCACTTTAAAACATTTTGTCCTGTTAGATAAAACTTTAGAAAAACAAATTAACTTATAAGTTAATTTAATGTTAATGTAAATTAATCTCCTCATGGAGTAATAACTAAAGTTAACCTGTTAGGATAATAGGACTAACTTACTGTTAAGCAAGTTATAATTTATAAAAAAAAGTGTATGAACTTGACCAGAGCACATTTCTGAAAGTCCCTACATTACACCACAAGCATGTTCATTTTTTTCCTTTTCTTTCTTTCTTTTTTGTAGTTGAGAATGACCCTTTTGTTCATCTGATACAGAGGAGCCGGAACTGACCGCTTATAAATATGTGCTGACAGAACATGATGTAGAAGTAATAACTCACCAGGAAGAAGAAAATAAACATACTGATATGTATCAGGGGTTTTCACTCCCTCAAACCACTAGTCTATAATATCTGTCCTGTTATATCTGCTGAAATAGCATGGTGCTGCTCCGACTCGACTCTTCAGCGTCCCCGTGTGGCTATCGATGGAACATCTTACTCATTAATATTGCGAGGACTTCACTTGTGAATAGCTTAGGGCCACTGTCTGCTATTATGCACGCCAATGTTACAAATCTGGGTGTCATTTCTGATTCTGAATGGAAATTTGATAAGCATATTAATGCTGTAGTGATAAATAGCTTCTTCCAAATGAAAGCTATTGAAAAGCTGAAATCTGTCCTCTGGGTTATTCTCCGATAGAATGTTTTAACAATTTGTAGTGCGAAAACCACTTGAAAATAAAATTGAATTTATGGTAGATGAATAAACAACATAATCCAACATCAAATATAAAAAAAAAACAAATGTTATCTTTATTACATCTAAATATTCTGATAGTAATAACTTTTGCCTCCATAAGGTCTCTTACATATACACACAGTTCTACATAGCGATTTATCATGGCACAGTTTTTTGTGCTTAGTAGCACAGATCACGGTTGTACAATAAACTGACGTAGTTGTACAAGACTCCATGGAACATACATTAATCTTTACATTGAGTAGGTAGGTTACAGCAATGAGACCAGACAAAATTACGTTGTTGTTTTCCAATGCACAGAACATTATTATTAGTGTTTCTTTTTTTTCTTCTTTAACACTGCTATTATTTCTTTATTAGCCATTTCAGCCGATATGTAATTTAGTTACACCTTTTCATTTGGCTCCAAACTGAGGTGACTATAATAACATGCCATTAAAAAAAACATGAAAAATCAAATCATAAAAAGATGGTTCAAGTTCTCAGTAAATCAGACCTTAAACACGCTTTACTGTTTAAAAACAGCAGATACTGAAAAGTAAAGTCTTTGGCTCACACTCAATCCCAGGTCAGACTAATTCAAGTTCATTTAATTGAGCATTTAATCTGTCATTTATGCACACACACACACAAACATCCACATGAAAATGAATGTCGCTGCACGGGCTTGTTTGCACACACAAAACAAATTCAATTTGTCGAATGATAATGAACCAGTCACTTCATATGCAACAGCTTGTCCATACTACGGTCTTGGAATCCACTGACCCAGATATGTCTTAAGGAGTAACACCTCTTTGCAATATTCTATCTATGGCTACACGTTACATGAACAAATACGCACACACGTACATGCCTACACCCATGAGTCAGGTGAGGTCGGGTAGGGCTGAGTTCTGTATGAAGGCCTGCGTGTGGTGGAGTAGAAGTCCACGTAGTTGGTATTGGGTTTGAGCACCTGTCTCTCGCTCACCACAGGATAACGAACCGGCTCGTCCAGGTACGCATCCTCGTAACCCGTCGGAGATGACAGGTACATTCCAAAAGTGTCATAGGTGCTTTGATTTCCCTCCTCTGGGTAATAGAGCCAGCCATGCTAGAAGAGCAGACAAAAAGAGTGCCTTTTTGATAATCATTTGCATAGGTAAAAAGAATAACCAAATAATAAACAAAAAATTACTGACACCATTTATTAAAATCCAGTGACTTTATCTGAATTTTGTTTATTATATATATTTATATAAAATTATCTAAAGGATAATACTTTGTCTTTATTGTCTATATCTCTTTCTTTCTTTTTTTTGTAGAAAATACTTTATTTTATTATAGTATTATATTTAAGTTATTTATTATTTAGGTTCTTATTTTATTTTCAGCCCCATGTTATTTTAGTATAATCGAGACGCTATTAAACAAATTATTACTAATACTATTAAATGTTTTGGTGTATATTATTTTTTTAAATATATTTTCTGTTTTTATTTACATTTTTAGTTTTAGTCATTTTGTTGAGTATTTTGTCATTTTTATTCGTTTTTGTTTTTTTAAACATGTCTACATATGTTTTTATCCGAATTTGATTTAGGTATTTATTTTAGTACATCAAGTTAAATTAAATGAAAATGAGAAATGTTAAAGAAGCTATGAAACAAGTTTTAGGTTGTTTAAAAAAAAAAACTTATTTCAGTTATTAACTGAAGAATAACCATCATAATAACCCCATACTAAAATCATCTTATCCTATATTTTATGTCAGAAGTAGATCTCAAATTGCCAGTCTTTTTATGTTTGTACAGTAAACAATATTTCAAAACCTAATATTCGTAGAAATATCAGCATTGAAGCTTTAAAAGTTTGTAACAAAAATTTAGTCCAATTATCACGTGCAATTTGTCTCTTCAGATCAATATGTAAAATAAAATCTGTCGCATTGATGGCATGTGAATGTTTGAGTCTGTTCATCATTCATATTAAAATGTTTATCACACAGACATTTCGTGTTGGTGTGAACAGGTCTTTACATCTTTACATTTACAGTGTCATGATGTAGTGTAATGTATGTTGATTTATCCCAACATACATTCTTTTTATTGCTATTACTAAATTTATTGAGACAGAATAAGTGAAAATCTTACAAAAAGTGAATATTTTGCCTTTTCTATATTCTATAAGGTGTGTGCTACTAAACCCAGATGCTTTTCACCACAGATTATTTGTGGGCAATGATCAAGGAATAAACCCAATGGATTACGTAAACTTCATCTGTTGGGATTAGTCGCATTAAATCCACGTCAATGGTTGTAATTTACAGTGGGCATATGGCATCTGGGTTCAGCCGGCTTCAGATTCAGCAATTTCTTCCTGCTTCCTTCCTTTCTTCACCTCACCTGTGATCTGCGGGACTCCTCGGCTGAAGGAGACGGACAGGAACTGATAAAATAGGCAGACTGCTTTCCAGACCCTGAACATAGATGAACACAAACATTAAAGGGGTCATATAATGCGATTAAAATTTTTCCTTTCTCTTTGAAGTGTTACAAGCTCAAACATGATTTCTATCCTAAGAACAGAATGAATACTTTTCTATTTACCAGGTATAGTTATAATCATCCATGTTCTCTAATAATGTGACGTTTAAAGGTGTTATATTTGTATTTTATATAAATATACAGTCTGTGGTGAAGCTCTAATCCTGTGAAGACCTCAGTTAGGGTGGAGAGCAGGGCTGAGGGTTAGATGGCCGGAAATGGTTCAACAGGCCTAATGAAGACCTGACGCATTCTGAATCACAGCCACATAATCAGACCCTCCAGGCCGAAGTACCACCAATCAATAAAGAGTAACTACGGAGGTCAAGTGCTCTTAAATGAATGGCCATTATAGCTTCCGACCAGACAGTGGAATAAAACTGATTGCTCTATTAGTTGAAGAGAACATGGGTGAAATATCTATTAGCACATCAGTCCAGCTTCTTAATTCACAGACAGATTCTTCTGTTGTTTTTCAAGAGTGATGTACCATACGACTATGCTGCATATTTCTGAGTAAAGCTGAATATTCAGGAAGTAATCATGTACAGTATATAATGGGACTTAATTTCATCCAATGGCATTTGATTGGACCTTGACAAGGATTGTGAGGGGAAAAACTTAAGTTTATTGGTTAATATTGTTTTTATCTGACTGCA